GATAAAAGTTACGAAGAGGAAGTATTATCTTGATCCATTTTGAGAAATTTGCACAAACCAACAAATAAGTTAGTAATCACAAGATATAAAATCGAAATGAAACTTGCATGATACACATGAACAAATGAATATTTCTTAACCAAGAACCAAGAAATCGAGTTAATATCCATGTTCATATAAAAATCAGCATTGCATTCCAATCATATTCAATCAAATGAACTCAAGAATAAACATGATTTTCAAACCATAAATGCAACAAGAAGTAAAGATTCATATTGCAACATGAAAAACCGAGATAACCAAATTCAAAATAAGCGGTATTCCTCTAAACCACAACCCGGGCAACAACTATATGAACTATTATGGCACAATAAAGCTCATCACAAACGTGTTGAAACAACGCAAAGAAACAAATACAAGGCCATAACCAAGTTTATCAATCAAAACACAACCAAATTGTGCCTAAAACGAAATTGATATCCTTCTCGACTCAAAACAAACAAGCAGGACACAGACTCAACTTAACTCAAGATTAAGATCAAGAATTTTGTATCACCATCACAAACATTCGAAATCAATCCAAATAAACAAACATCAACATCAAACGGTTGTCACAATTGGTTTTAACATTAACAACCCGAATCCATTGCCGACATCCAAGTTTCATCACAAATTCGAAAAAGAACGTGGATGGAGGGGAAGATGGTTGCGCGGAGGGTGTTGGTTGAAGAAGAAGCGGGGAGGTTGTCGAGTGGTTGACAGAGGTTGAGGGATTATTAAAGATGGAGATGATGAGGAAGAATCGATTTGAGATTCAACTCTCTCTCTCTCACACATATTTGTTCTCTGCCTCTTTAATCGATCCACCCTCTCTTGTTATAACCAATAAAACCTTATCCAGTTCTAGGTTTTGTAATAAGACCAAAAGACTCTCCTTGCTGAGATATTTCTAAATTTAAATATAAAACAAAAATGAACGATTCTTCAAAATTATATCTAAATTAAAAATTAGTTAAATTAAAAAACACATTTTTTTTTTATATATTTTTCCTAAAGATTAAAAATAAGAAACTAAAATCTAATTTAAATGATGAAAAATATATAATAATTTTTTTATATTTTTATTAAATGAAAATAATAATTCTAAAGGCAACAAGAAAATATGTCTAAAATTAAATCAGACACAAATGAAAATGTGCGTAAAAATGCAAAGAAATAAATAAAGATTAAATTTGATATATGAATGCCAATGAGAAATTTAGGATAAAATTTAGGGTGTAACAGGAGGCTGTTTTTGAATATCCATTACTTAAGGTCTTATTTAGCTCTTTCTACCTTAATGGCTACTTGTGTAAATCAGTCGATGTAAGAGTGAGTGCTCTCTATTTTCCCTTGGATGATACCTCTCCAAGTTGCTACTATTACAGGCTACACTTTTTGGACACTAAAGTGAGCGATTAATCTTTCGTATAAATTCATCCAGGATTCAATACTCCCGTCCGGAAGACCGTTGAATCATAGTCTGGTCGACCCAACTAGAGTTAGCACGAACAACTTGCATTTGGAGGCTTCGTCAGTACTAAAGTAGTTTAGTCGATTGTTGATAAGTATCATGTGTCCGTCCAGATATCCCTTTCTTGGGAGGCTTCTTCATGGACTTAGTATTTTGCTATCCAAAATTACAGTGCTCATAGGATGTTTCTGGTGGTTCTTCTACGACTGGTTTTCTTCTAGATCTCTGGGAGGAGCATGGGTGCCTGGATATCCCTCGGGGATTTGTGGAGGACTTTGGCCCTTCTTTCCCCCTCTTATGATTCTTCGACTGATGAGCTTCATCTTTCTTTGTTGCAGTCAGATCAGGGATGTCAATTTGCATTCTCCTCGATATAGCCTATTGAATGTTGTTCCCTCGTGGAGGCGCATTGTGGAAGCTTTCTTTGAGGCGGAACAACCTTCCTCTATTGCTTGTGAATTATTTCGTTGAACGATATTGTACATGTTGTTCAACAATTTGTTGGTGCCTTGCAACCTAAGGTTAGCTCGCAGTAGTTGGAAACCATGTAAGGCTTTAGGTTGTGACACTGGCGGTGGAAACGAAGGTTGAATAAGAGGCAATTGGACAGATCTAGATCTCTGAGGATCCTGGAACAAATTTGGATGCAGCGGAACTACTGCTCCTGGAATCGCAACGCCTTGCGGAGGATGTGAAGGTGGTTGATTGATCGTTGCTTGAGTTGCGCCAACGACAACGACTTCTCATGTCGTGGTGGAGCGAGAAGCTTTAGATTCACCCATTACTTGAAAGCATAGAAACCAAAGATATGGAAATTCAGAAAATCAAAGTTAAAAATGATATTTGATTGGATCGATAAAACTGATCTTCGTGTTCGATTTCGAGAGCTCTTGATTCGATGACCTGAGAAGGTTTTGAATCAATAAATCATAGAGGGGACATGAAATTATGAAAAACATATGAATTAGAAGTTGATTCCCTTAGACGGTGTCATTGTTCCATTATGAAATCAGAAATGAAGTAAGGATCAGAGATAACTACGAGTCTGAACTTCCGGTACCCTGAAGAGGGGGTGAACCAACAAGGTTGGCATTATAATACTCAAGTCAGTATGGAGGAAGAATAGTGAATTGAAATTAAATTTAAAACCGAGTGCCTGAATTGGTGTGCTATCTATATATATAGTGGAGAGGAAATACCAACCCGTTATATGTAAGCCGTGAATCGCAGAGAGCCATTGGATATATCTGGAGTTTGAATCTCCTATACTTATATGTAGAGTATCTCATATGCTAAGAAGGTTCTTGAAGGGTTGTGTCTCCTTAGAGTGATTGGTCGGGGACCAATATGGTTGGCCAGTTTTGGTTTCTACAAGATATTCCAATAGATCCCTCAGTATTTTCTCATACACTAAGGTCTGCATAGATGTTGATGTAATATTTGATTATTTATGTAATTATCTAGTACCAGAGGAAGCACGAAGTGTGCCTTCTCCATAGCCATGTAGCAGTGCATTTGGCTACATGCAATGGTATTTCAGAGTCTCACGTCTTTACATGACATTAGATGCTCACAAAGATCCACCTAGGTCATCTCATCAAGAGATATTAGAGGAGGAGCATGTTAGGATAAATCATGATGTTGATATTTTACTTGCATATCGTTGTATTATGGATATTGCGCGTGCAGGTACAAAGGCAATAGATTTTTCAAAAGGCACTTTTGTGAGGGCTACTTTAAATGCCATTTTATTCTAGACACATATGACTTTGTAGTACATAAAGCAGAAAAGAAAGGTAAGGGGTCAAATATAGAAGGCACAGAGTCACTTTTGTGAGGACTACTTTAAATGCCATTTTATTCGACGCACATACGACTTTGTAGTACATAAAACAGATAAGGAAGGTAAGGGGTCAAATATAGAAGGCACTTTTGTTAGGACTACTTTAAATGCCATTTTATTTGAGGCACATACGACTTTGTAGTACATAAAACAGAGAAGGAAGGTAAATGGTCAAATATACCTAATAATATTTGATAGTATTTATATTATGAATTCTGAATAGTATTATGATTTTAATTTATCATTTTTATAATATTATAGATTCTAGATTGATTCTAATATATGACATTTTAATCTTATTACATCGGTGTATGTTTTAATTTATAACAAAATTATCATGACAACATACTTATTAAATGGCGTGTTACATCAGTGTATTTCTTTTTAAAAAATGTCAAACATTATTTTCTAAGGTTTGTTACGAAAGTATACTTCTGGCAAGTTTACCGAGGTGCATTTCTAAACTAATTTTCGACAAAATAAATGTAGCTCACTTACAAAGGGATTTGGTGTATATGGGATGCGTACGAAAGTATACGTATACTTCCGTATGTATTTCTTAAAAAAATGTCAAACCTTATTGCCTAAAGATTATTGTAGAAGTATATTCCCGTCAAATTTACGGAGATGTATTTTCAAACTACTTTTTGACAATGAAAGTGTGACTCACTTACAAAAGAATTTGATGTATATGAGATGCATACAGAAGTATACTTTCATAAAATTTACGAAGATCCATTTCTAGACTAATATTTAACAAAATTTACAGAGATCCATCTCCAAATTAATATTTGATACAATGAAAGTGTGATTCACTTACTAATATATTGGGTGTGTACTAAAATATACTTCCGAATTCATGAAAAATAATTTTGAGTTTTAATTGGATAGCTCTTCACCAATAAGGGTGGGAAGATCAACCCTTTTTGAAATGAAAATGTATAGAAACACATATTACTCTTTTTTTATGGGTTGGAAGGTGGTTTTGGTACAAGCAAGGTAACTCCCTCTAGCTTTTGGTTTGAGACATTGAATGGATAAAATTCAAATGTATTTGTAACAGCCTTAAACTTGCAAAATGAAGTAGTCCAAAACAAAATAATCAATTTAGACTGAAAGGTCAAAATTCTTGTCACTTACCAAAACGGTCAAAGATTCAAATCATATCTCTTATGAGAAGTGCATAACTAGGAGTGCAAGGTAAATCAAGCCAATTCTAGGTTCAATTTAGGAGACCAGATTGAGAGGATAGTTTGCTATTACTAATGTAAAAGTGCATGGTTATATATGAGAACAATCACAAATTTACATACCCATGGTATCCAGTTTTCTGTTGTCAATGAAAATCTCTCTGTCGTTAAAATCAATGAATGTAAATCTACAATTTCATCTTTCTTTCTTCCTCTCTCATATATGGATATGGAGCCTTCTATTTCTTTTGAAAAATGGAGAAGATCTCGGCCTGATATGAAAGTGGTGATGAATGAAGAAGCTTTGCAAAGGACCGGGTTTGCAGCCGACTGCATCATTATCCTTGGGCAGAGGCATAAAAGGTGGCCACAAAAGAGGAACGCTTGATAAAGCGTGCGATGATTTCTATATCCATGTACTCGAGCAATTTCCTCTTTTACTCCATATATCACTCTAACTATTGACTTTTTGACGAGCAAAACCAGGCTGGACAATGAAAATGGAAAGCACCGATAACTGTCATTTCAGTTACAGAAATTGATGAAAGGGGTAAGTAAGGAATGGTGGAATTACCTGAAGAAGCATGGATCGATGAGGTGCTGTGGGTTCTGAAAGAACATGACTTCTAGTTTTTCTCCCATTTGATGTAGTAACTGATGGGCTATTATTTGTGGTGATGTCCCAAAAGCTTCGCTTCTTAGCAGTTGGAGCTGGTGATCGAAGACGATGACTCTTCAATTCAACATTGTTTGGCTCCTTTACCGGTAGGCTAGCAGCCCTAGTTACCACTCTCTTCCCTACTTCTCTTGTTGTTGATGCTTGTTTTTCACACTTTTGAGAAAGCTCGCGGATGAGATCATCTTTCTGCTTTAGCTGCAAGGTATGATCTTTCTTCATTCTCTCTATCTCAGCCTCTAGTGCTTTCACTGTCCGTTGTAGTGTCCTCACAGCTAGCTCAACTCCTTTCTTCTTGGTTTCCGGAGTGAAACAAGTTCCAGCCAAGAAAGAGGATCTAGTCCTTCGTTTTTCACTTGGTTGAGCTGAATGTGGTGGTGGTGGTGGTGGTGTAGAGGAATGTGAAGCTAAGGACTGTGCTTCTAGAGTCGAGAGCTTTTGTTGTTGCTGTGCTAGCTGCATTCTTATTTCATGATTCTCCTTTTGCAGCCCATGTATCAGTTTGGCCTGGTCAGTGTCTGTCTCGTGTATTTGCAATTGATCCTCATTAGTCTCGCTTACCTGTATCCACACAAATAATAAATGAAATTATTCGACTTCATTACAAAAGCATACCAAGTTTATGGCTCAAGGCCTTTGATGCTTTGAAGATAAATATTAGCTTGATATGGCATGAGGATTCGACCTTTAGCCGAATCTCTTTGGCTCTATCGGCCCAGTGAACGGTATTTTGAGTTTCACCAAATGAGAGACTACTTGGGCTAATGTTTGCAATCATGACAGTGTTGCAAATTCCTCCTAATGAATCCTTGAGAAGTTGAGTAAGCTTTGAATTTCGATACGGTATGTGTTTCTTGCCCTCTACAAGAGCATTGATGCAGCTGCTGAGTGCAAGAAGAGAACGGTTTATGTTGGCACCCTCAAGAGATCGTAGTGTTCTTTGATCCGTGGCAAGAGCTCTTTCTGACCCTGCAAGATCAATTAACGAGAGCTTACCCACTCGATTAACAATATTCGTTGTCGCGACATCTCTAACTCGGTATTCAACCACAACCTAGATGTGACAAAATAATGTGCATTTGGTTAGTAACAAGAACATGTGACAACTCACAATCCCTACATTAAACGGACCCCCTCAAAATCACTAATGATTCACCTGCAAAATTGCATGGGACCGCGAAGACGTTTCATTTGCACGAGTTGGTTCTGTGGTTCGGTTCCGATTTCCTTGTTGAAGCAATACCATCACCTGAAGCAATCAGAGAAAAGAAAAGGAAAGCATGCTAAACCAATGGTTAAATTTTAAACCTCCCCAAAAGTCATAATACTCTTCCAAAAAGGATCAGAATATTCAATACCTCATCTGCAGAAGAAGCTCTATATTGTGTAAGACCCGCCGCCACAATCCCCTATAATATAATTGAGCAATTCATCAGACATATCTTTCAAAAGTACAACTTCAAATGCAGTTATAGAATACTTGTAAACTGTTAAGTTATCATTTTAACAACGCAAGAACGAGAACCTGTTTATCTTCTCTAAGGACTAATGGCCTTCCAGGGCAAAGCAAATCTCTGACAGTTTCATTGTAAACCTCCAGATAGGAGAGATGAACCACATGGCTTCCATCACAACTTCTCTGCCTGATTTTACTGAATAAATCCTTAATAGCCAAAACCATCACCCCTGGATTCTCCACAGTGCCGAGCATTGTATATGTTTTTCCAGCTCCTGTAGCACCATAACAGAAAACTGATCCATTCCTCCCCTGCAGAACCGCTTCCACAAGTTCCGAAGTTCTGAAAAGAAGCTGAAATCATATGTATATACAACACACCCTAAGGACAACTTAGTTCTGAAATATACAAAACTCTCTTAATATTGATTTTTCTCTACAAGACGGTTGACTCTCATAACTAAAAATGATCGTTCGAAAACGACTAATTTGATATGTTTATGATCCACAAGTTTCGAAGTTCTGAAAAGAAGCTGAAATTATATGTATACAGCACATCCTAGGGACAATTTAGCTCTGAAATTTACAAAACTCTATCTTAAAATTGAATTTTCTCTACAACACAGGTGACTCTCATAACTAAAAATGATCTATTGAAAACAACTAAACAACTAATTCGATAAGTATACGATCTACATTCAGTAAATGGCTAAACTTAAATCCAAATTTGAAAGTAAAAGACACTCACGTGGTGGAATACACTTGTAGCTGAGTCGCGGAATCAGTAAAAGATCCATCAAATGCAAAGTGACGCCCCTTAACCCTATTGAGTCTGAGATAGTCATTCTCATTTGCAGACTCAGTTAGATAAACATCGCGACGATTAACGATTCTCACACAGCACCTCGAACTCAATTCAACTTCCTTCTTGTTCATTGGTCTAACCCTAACAAACACCAAAATCCTACTCACACATTTCTCTAACTCTTCCTCTTTCCCTTTCATCGGAGCCGGCATCGAAAGTCTCCGAGCAACAGCGTCAACCGGAGCTGCTGCATTTGTTGTAGTTGAAACCTTTCTTGGATATGAAAATCCAACGATTCGATCTTGTCCAACAATGATATTATGATTTTCTTTAGCATCATCATCGATACTGTTGTTGACTGTGGAAGAAGGTGGTTGAGGTAAAACGAAGGTTTTGGTAATCGTTGAGTTAGGGTTTGTGATCGAGTTTCTCTCTCGCATGGCAGTGTTGCTGCTTCTGAGAGACTTGGAAGCTAGCTTTTGCTGCTCGTATAACAGAGTGAGGGTTTTGAGTTTCTCTTTGAGGCCATGGTGAGGGTTTCTGAGTCTCTGTTGCTGCTCCATTGTTAGATTTCCTTCATTTTGGGAAGTGATTTTAGATCGCGTTGACACCGGCATTTTAGGGAATCGTTTTTTGATGATGGTGTAATCCAAACACAGCCTTAGTCAATAAGCGTGAGATTTGAATGGATGCAAAGTACAAGTAATCGCAACGGTCAAATCTGAGTTCTGAAACGGTTACTTATTCAGCTTATTGCTCTTTGTTTGTGTTGCTCTTGTGTGTGTGTGAGAGAGTTTGTGGTCCTACAAAAATCTCAACGCACGAGATTCTCCTGTTTTACATAAATAACAATTTAATGCTATATCAACCAATGTTAATAGAATAAAAAAATAGAAAATTACAAACACATTTTTGTAAGTGGGTTATAGCGATACAGAAAATTATTATAACCGAGAAAAATACAAAAATATTTAATTGCTCACAGATTTTTTAACCAAATTTTCATATATGCATTTATTACTATTTTTTTAATATCTGATATTATTTATTAATATTGATAGTTTTGTTTTTAAATGAAAAATGTTTACGTCACACTACTAGCATATGTTGATGATATATTTAGAAGTTTAATAAGAAATTATCTGTGATTTCATTGATTTTGTTTTTTTACGTTACAAGTACTTCATTCAATTCGTCTTGCTTTCTGATTACAAAAAATATTTTATCATATTAGTGTTTTCATTCATCATGTTGAGGATGAGATTCATTCACTTGGTGTTTTTTAACAATGCAAAACCAGTGAATCCCACCATCTATGTATTCAGAATTCATTGACTATCCTTGGAAGGGTTAACCACAAACAAATGTAACCTTATGATATAGGTATAAGGATAAAATATGATTTTGGTATTACATAATCTTTTTCTAAAAACATCATTTTTAGTTTTTATTTTAAATTTCAAATTGTTTTTTAGGCTATGTTTGGATTGATAGAACACGACGGAACAGAATAAAGCGGAACAGAATAGAATAATATCATGTTATATTATTTGAATTGGTAAAAAGAAGATGGAAAGGAGCAGAATATGATAGAATGCATTTCATCGTATTCCATTCAATTCCTTATTTTTTGTTTCATCCAATTTGGGGTGTATGTGATTGAATGAGATATTTTAAATGAAATAACCAAACAATAGAGTGAGATTTATATTCTATTCCGCTTTGTTCCATTCCGCTCCATTATATTTAATTCTGCTCCGCTCTATTGTGTTCGATCAATACAAACATAGTCTTACTAACTATTATACGAGAATTACATATTTCTTGCTGAACGTCCTAAATATTTATTAACTAGTTGGGTAAGTCGTTATATATTCATTTTTTCTATATTGTCTATCTTGATTACAATGGAAAGTGTTTCAGTCTTACAAACTTATGTCAACAAACAAAATATTCATTGAGAATCTATTTAAAGTCAAAACAAAGCTCTGACTTTACATGGTCTAACACATAAATTTGTATCTAGCGAAGAGGAGTATACTCTCAAGACCCAAGTCTTCACCAATATCCCAATCTTTAAAAGTTAGACGCTCATGCTATTAAGGAGCATGTATTAATTTCCAATACATATATCTTATATGTAAGGTAAAATTACACCAACAGCTTTTTAAGTTATTTTTGTGTAACAAATTTGTTAGTTCTATGATTTTGTGATTAGCTAAGTTTTGGTAAAACATGGTTTTATACTGATGTTGATTTATATGTTGCAGCATTCTTTTAAACTGTCATAACAGTTTTGTTGTTATGAATTTTTCAATCAGATGTCAAAGCAGATGTCATGACATATAGGTCTGGTACAACATGCGGTGTTGTTTTAAATCTTGACAGATTTGATTTGATTTTGTGATATTCCTTTTGGATATATCTTAGAAAATTTTGCAAGTCATGAAGATTTAATCTGGAACATGTTTTGTATCTCCAGCTGTATATAAGTTACTAAATTGGGCCTTGGGACAATTTAGGAAACCTGGTATTGTTTGCTCCAAGATTTAAGGAGATTTTGTTGCAGGTACATCACTCAACTTATGGATCAAGAAATATATGGATGCAGATTTCGAAGCCCATGGACTGGAGATGTGTATTTAAAGGAGAAAACTTAAACCTAATGTATCAATTCTTTCAATTAAGTTTTTCATAATTTGTAAATTAGGGGAAGTTTAGAGTCTTAGGTTTTGAGAGTCTCTTGTGTGAGTGTAAAGTCACCCTTGTATCTTTTGATACTTGTGGTAGACATAATGTTGTCACTCAGAAGCCTTTAGGTAATGAGTTGAGTATTGTTCTTGGTTAAAACTTTTAAGCAAAACCAAGTATTGTTCTTAGGTAAGAGTCTTAACAAAGTATTTTTGTATTAGAAGTGTAATCTTCTTGTTGAGTTGATTTTGATATAATCACTAGGATTGAGACTATTAGATATCACTGAGGTGATTAGGAAGTGAAATGGGATTTCTAATGTCTATATGGTGATTTCTAGGTAGAAGTTGTACTGAATAGGGATTAAGTGATAAGTTGTAAATTAAGATTGTTTAGACTTTGAATTGATACTATTAATAGTGGATTTCCTTCTTGGCTTGGTGTCCCTAGAGTAGGTAATATTGCACCGAACTCGGTTAATAATTCTCTGTTTTATTTATCATTTTGAAATTTAATTTCAGTATCACTTACATCTTGATAAATCTGTTCAGTCTGTCAACAAATATTGTAACATATGTCTTGACATTGTTCTGATGTTGGGATATCAGTATGAGCATGTGTTGTATGTACCAACAATTTCATTTTATATCAGAGCAAGCATCCTGGTCTATTGGGTGAGCTTCAGGGAGTATTTTTATGATACTATTTTTCTGTTTAGAAGGCCAGAATGGGAGCATTATGGTTATCAATGGAAAATATATCTTGAATATTGTTAGTATATGAGAATCTTGGTGTTGAAGAGATAGAAGGGAAGAGTTTGAGACAACTCTTTGTCACTCTGAAATTATCAACTTCATGTTATATGAAATTGGTAAGCACTCTATATCACTTATGTTGTAGCCAAAGATACTTGAGAATTTCTCAAGCCCACTCATAAAGGCACATCTAAGTGTGTTTCGGAGAAAAGAGTTTAGAAGAGAGGATGATCAAGAAGAAGATATTATGGTCTCTACTCAAGATGTTTGACATGAAAGTGACAAGCCACTAGAGAATAACAAAAGCATTTTTTTGTTTCCAAATTTTGGGAATTCGTGCTCTGATATCTGATGAAGGGTTTCTTATTACTATTGAGTTTCTTGGAAGGCAATCCACTCAAGTGTTTAAAAGATTAGATAAAATATCTAGACTAAATGTCCATAACATCTATACTGACTTTAGTGAGTCTGTGATGCTAAAGAAAAGGCTGAAACTGGGATATAGATCAATTAATGTCAAATCATTCATTAATATGAGTGTGAACACACTGGATCTTTGTGAAGCAAAATGCCTTATTTATATCAAGAACAATTGTATGGGTTTTCTAATTCTTGGCTTAATTAGGAAAGTGGTCCTGATTATGAATTTTCTAAGGATATTATTGGTTTGACTGGAAGATGGACTTCTGATGAAAAAATTTGTTTTGAAGAATTATCTCATGATGTGCTGGTTGTTTTATTCAAAGATATGTGTATCTAAAATAAAGAGGGTTGTGAATTGTGAAGAAGTAAGAGGTGATTTATTTCTGATCTTAAGTCTTAAGAGAATGAAGGATTGTCTACCATCTATAACTTACAGGGCGAGGTGACTATATTTTTCCTAAAAACTTGATATTTTGATCAAGTCTGTAAGGATAATTCAGAACTATTGGAGAGGTTTATTCTAGTAGAAAGATGATTGGAAGTCTAAGGAGGATAGGTTTTTCAAGCTACAACTGGCAAAGAGAAAACTCAAGTGACAAAAGGTTGTTTTTATTAAAAGGAAAGTTGAGTCAAAGATGTCAATCGTAATGTCTCAACATTGTGTTAGACATTATAATACTCAAGCTAAAGGCATATACTTGCACTGAAGATGTCTCTTATGTGAAAAGTTGATCTTAACAGTTTTGTTCACTTCTTCAAAGGTCAAGTTCAGCATGGGTTAACCAAGCCGTGGTTAAAACTCAGGAAAGGTTATAATTGTCTTATTTCTCATACCTTTATTAGAACTTCAACTAATATAACTAGTATTTTGGCACTAACTGCTTCAAACACTCGACTGCAGTAAAAATGTTTTTGGTTATGTGTTTAGTCTCATTCTATCAACTGTTACTTTTGTTGTTTATGCTAAAAGGGAAGTTTAAGGGCATTGAGTAACTAAAGAATTCAGGATGAATTCTCTAAGTTTTGGTAATTTTTCTTCTTACTGAAGGACTGGTGATTATTGTATTAAACATAAGTCACTTTTGTGATCAAGGTATGAAGGTATATGTCATCAAGGAAAAATATTTTGTCTCTAATGAGATGTGTGAAGTTCTTATGGGGATTTAAAAACAATTAATATTTGTGGACTCCACAAGTATTTAATTTCTTATCCTTTCACTTGGTGTTCAAGGAAGAAGAAATCAAAATGTCACATCAGAAGGTGCAACATCAGACAATTGCAAATCTATTGAACCTGTTATATGTATCTGATTAGTTCAATGCAAGATGAGTGTCCTGGTGGATAGAGACATATATATGATTTTCTGTTGTGATCTATAGCAAAGAAAAATTTATTATATGTGAAATCTTCAAAGGTTCTTATCCGGTCCTTGAATGATAACAAGGTATCTTTATGAGTTTCTCTACTGAGAGAGGTACTTTTAGTGATGTTATTTAGGAGCAAAATCAGTGACGTGTTCATTGAGAAAGGTACTGGTGTTCAACTAGATGTTGGAACATCATCACAGTAGGTTGATATTCCAAACATTGTGGAAGACTCTAACGGGCTAACATGCACTGAATAAGAAAGCTCTAAAGAAAATAATATTTTGTTTAAAAAGGGAGTCTATTATTTGAAGTTTATTTTATTCTGAAATCATCTGTTCTTTCAGAGGTGAACCATATAATGATGGTGAGTCTTGGAGTAA